TTGATATGTTGAAAAGCTGGGAAGGAGTTGGAAGAAGAGGATCACAAGAAAATTGGTGGAGAAGTATCCCAGTATGTGTTTGGTGGACTTTATGGAAAGAGAGAAATGAAAAATGTTTTGAAGGAAAAGCAAGCTGTTTCCAGAAGATCAAGATGAAGAGTATAAGTCTTTTGTATTTTTGGTGTAAACATGATATAGTGGGGGAAATAGATAGTTTAGTTGATTTCAAAGGACAATTGCAAAGCCTCTCATCTAGTCTTTTAATCTTGATGAAGCCCTTTGGGGTTGTAAATCCCACCCCATCAGCTTTTGCTTGATGGGCTTTTTGGTGTGCATACACAGTTACTATTATCAAAAAAAAGTTAGATTAGCTATTTTTCTTGAAGGATTGGTAACATATAGCATTCAGAGCTTAGCTGGTTCAAACAAACAGTTTAAAAGATAGAAGTGCCCCTGACTATAAATTTCTTCACCACAAAGTTCACTAAAAGTATAGACATTGAAGTAAATAAGACAATAGACACACCGTATCTAGCCTCTGGAGGTTCTCGAATAGCATGATAAGGCAAGGGACCCCAATTATCTTCATTCGTGACCGGAGTAAGGAAACCAAAGTCGAATACTTTAATGTTGAAGTCCTGCGAGCCAAATTGAACAGTAACTTGTAAAAGACCAACACGTAAGGAGGTCGAAAAGGAATGAAGGAATTAATTAAGTTGTTACGTTGTCAATCATTATGTCTTTTGGTCTGACAGTACCAAATGCATATCGCCTCTCATGAAACCAGGCGAAGAGGCTTGCAAGTTGAGTGGCCACCTTCATTCTAGCATTCCATCCAAACTGATTGCTTGCACAAGGAACAGATGATACGTTAAAAGCTAGAAAATTTGGTCGCAGGTGAAAATTCCTTTACCAGAAGAATAAAGGTTGGTTGAAAAAACTTGTGTTGGCATTTCATCATACACTAGTGCAAGTATATATTGAAAACAGAACCCCTTTAAGTTCATCAAACATGGATCTCGGTCTTCACGCGTTAGTATTTCAAGCTCGTTCTGCAAATTAAATTTTCTAGGGAAAAAATAAAAAAATGAGATGGAACAAATTAAACATACACAAAATCTATCCGGATGGTCAGCATAAGAGGGGAACTGTGGAACAAAGAAATCCCATGCTTTGATAGCAACATTGCCTTGATGATCTGCAAACAATCTGTCGTACATAGTGTGGATTTGCAAAAATAAAAGATTGTATTGGAAAATTCTCTTTGAATTGATTGATTTTCTCTGTACAATTTACCTATATTTATACAAGTATCCTGCTAGCTAACTGTACAGGTGGCTATTTCTAATTGGTCTACCTCTAACAAACTAATGGATAAATACAGAAATTGTATAATAAAAGATGCCATAATTAAGTTCTAGAAGAGAGTGTATATGCTAAAGCCCAAACGTTCAAAACAGATTCAATCAAACATCTGAGGCCCACGTCTGAGGCCCAATGGTTGCATAACCTAAGTCCATAATATCATTTGTAGGGTCTTTCATTTGTAGCTACTTCCATTCTTAAACTAGTAGCCTGGAAGAGTGTAAAATCGTCTGAGAAGGAAGAAGAATTCCAACACCCCCCCTCAAGTTGGAGGGGATGAAACACCCAACTTGTGAAGAAGAGAGTGATGAGTAGGTCCGGTGAGAGATTTAGTAAACAGATCTGCAAGTTGAGAGGAAGATCGAACATGAGAGAGCGAAATAAGACCGGCGAGGTACTGCTGACGAACGAAATGACAGTCGATTTCGATGTGTTTCGTTCGTTCATGAAAAACCGGATTTTTAGCAATATGTATGGCAGCAGAACTATCCGAATGAAGAGGAACCGGTCAAACTGATCGGAACATTGAGATCTACGAACAATCGGACCAACCAAGTAAGTTCGGCAACGACTCGCCTCATCGACCTATATTCAGCTTCAGCCGAACTGAGTGATATTGATGCTTGCTTTTTTTATTTCCATGTAATAGGAGAAGAACCAAGAGAAATATAGAAACCACTGACGGACTTTCGTGAATCCGGGCAGGTTCCCCAATCGGAATCACAAAAGGCAAGGAGCTGGAAGGACGACGAACTGGACATAAAGATCCCAAGACCTGGATCATGGAGCAAATAGCGAAGTACTCGTAAAGCCGCAGTAAAATGAGGAAGACGAGGGTCCTGCATATACTGACTAAGGTGTTGTACAGTGAATGAGAGATCCGGCCTCGTGTGAGTCAGGTAATTCAGTTTTCCCAGCAAGTGTCGATATAGAGTAGGATTCGTCAAAGGAATACTCATTGGCCTTAATTTGACAGAAGAATCCAGAGGTGTAGAAACAGGATTAAGGTCCAAACAATCGAACTCTGTTAATAATTCAAAAATGAACTTCCTTTGAGAAAGAATTAAACCATGTGGTTCCCGAATGACTTCCAAACCGAGGAAGAAGTGTAAATTACCAAGATCTTTAATCTTAAATTCTGCATCCAAGAATAACTTGAGTTCCTGTAAGTCGGCTGGATTATCTCCTGTCAATAAAATGTCATCGACATAAATTGCAACTATAGAAATCGAATAAGTAGACTTCTTAAAAAACAAAGAATAGTCATTGAGAGAATGACTAAATCCTTTGAAATTGAGGGCAGCAGTGAGTTTTGAATACCATTGTCGAGAGGCCTGTTTTAGGCCATAAATAGACTTCTTTAATAAACAAACATGATTAGGGGGAGGAGGAGAAAGACCAGTAGGAAATCTCATGTAAACTTCCTCATTGAGGTCACCATGTAGAAATGCATTATTTACATCTAATTGAAAGAGACCCCAGCCTCTCTTTACTGCAATAGCCAAAATACATCGAACAGTGGTCATCTTCACCACTGGTGAAAAAGTCTCAGTGTAATCCACCCCTTCTTTTTGTATATCACCTCTAATGACCAATCTGGCCTTAAATCTCTCAATACTACCATCTGAATGTTGTTTGACTTTGTAAACCCACTTGCAAGGCAAAGCCTTTTTCCCATGAGGCAAAAGAACAACATCCCAAGTTCTGTTCAGTTCCAAAGCAGCCAGTTCTAGATTCATGGCTTCCTGCCAAGCAGGATCATGTATTGCCTGTTCATAGCTAGCAGGTTCATGGATATTAGAGACAGAGTTGAGCATAACCTGATTAGAAGAGGATAAAGAATTGAATGTAAGGGAAGTAGGAGTGACAGGACTAAGAAAACAGGAAGAACTTACATCTGTGAGTTGTAAAACATGACAAATATAATCTGTAAGATAAGAAGGAGTCCTAGTATTTCTAGAAGACTTTCGAACAAGAGTATCAATAAGAGGATTTGGATGGGGAGGATCAGGAGATGTACTGATAGGAGAAGGAATGGGATTACAGTCAGATGAGGGAGAAGAAGGAGGAATAGGCAAAGTATCAGGAACACTGGACAATGTAGAGTCAGGCGCAGGTGTAAATAAAGGAAAATCAGAAACATGTATATCTGAGGGAGGAATTGGAAATAATCTATGAGAAATGTGAGACATATCTGATGAAAAGGGAAAATATTCTTCATAAAAAATGATATCTCTAGAAACAAAAATTTTCTTTGTTTTAAGGTTCATGACTTTGTACCCCTTTTTCCCATAAGGATACCCCAAAAATACACAAGGCAAGGCTCTTGGATCAAACTTTGTTCTATGAGGAGAAGTAGTGGAAACAAAACATAAACAACCAAAACATCTTAGATGTGAATAAAGAGGTTTATCTTTAAAAAGGATTTCAAAAGGTGTTTTGTGATTCAAAATAGAAGAAGGAAACCTGTTAATCAGATAGGTGGCAGTTAATAAACATTCTCCCCAATAAATGATAGGTAAATGAGATTGATATAACAAGGCTCTTGAAGTTTCAAGCAAATGCTTGTGTTTCCTCTCCACTATTCCATTTTGTTGTGGAGTGTAAACACAAGTAGTTTGGTGAATTATCCCTTTGGAAAGAAAAAAATCAGAATGCAATTTTCCAGCCCCTAATTCAAAAGCATTGTCTGTTCTGATTATTTTGATTTGGGAGTTAAACTGTCTTTTAACCATGGAAATGAAAGATTTAAGAATAGAAAAAACATTGGATTTAGAACTAAGTAGATGAGTCCATGTTGCTCTACTAAAATCATCAACAATGGTTAAAAAATACTTAAAACCATTATATGTAGGAGTGTTGTAAGGACCCCAAGTATCCACATGTATTAGTTCAAACACTGATTTAGTAGAGAGACAACTTTTAGGAAAAGGCAATTTAGATTGTCTTGCCATAGGACAAATAATGCAAGGAGATGAAAATTTGGAACAAGGTAGAAAAGCTGGAACAACATTCTTCATATTACTCAAAGGCATATGGCCTAATCTATAGTGCCATAGCTTTTCTTTTACATTTGAATCAAAAAAACTAGAACATGAAGTAAAGACATTGGCAACAGAATTAGGAAAACAAGAACTATTAGATCTAGAACTAGATAGATGATTTGTGAGAAGATCATCTTGATCACCATGTCTGAGATCAGAAAGACTCTTAGTAACAGCTGGTTGAAGAGACTTGAAAATATATAGACCCCCTTGTTCCTTACCAACCTCCAGAGGGCTCTTCAGTGAAGGGCCCTGCAACATAAAACATTTGTTAGGGGTAAATAAAATATATTTTTGAAACTGTTTACACAGTTTATGAATAGACAAAAGATTGCACTTAAAGGACTGAATATAGAGGACATGGTGAAGAATTAATTTAGGTAAGAGTTCCACAGATCCTGAATGAGTTACAGTGACTCTATGTGAATTAGGAAGAGTAACCATAATAGGTTGAGGCAAAAGACTGAGATTAGAGAAAAGAGTTCTATTAGATGTTATATGCTCAGAAGCTCCACTGTCTAAAATCCATGAAACATTGCCAACTGTAAACAGAGAAACATTAGAATTGGGTATACCTGCACAAGTGATGTTAGCAGATCCTTCACTAGTATTGCTAGTTTGATGGTTCATCTTCTGTAATAGTTGCAAGAGTTGAGCAACATTCTCCTGACTGAGTGAAGTTTGATCTGTAGAACCTTCCATACCATGACTGTTAACCTCAGATGAACTAAAAACATTGTTAGCAATATGACCTTTTTGGTATTTTTTATTCTTGGTGAACTTAAAATCATCAGGGAATCCATGAAGCTTATAGCACTGTTCAATAGTGTGACCTGTCTTCTTGCAATAGTTACAAATCAAATTGTTTTTCTTAGAAAAGTTCCCTGGCTTAGGTTTATATTCATCAAACCTCCTAGTTCCTGAATTTCCAACAAGAAAGGAGGCAGACTCTGTTGGGTAATTAGGAACAGCATGTATTTCTCTCTGTTTTTCATCTTGAACTACTAGAGAGTAAGCTTGACCAATGGTAGGAAGAGGGGAAGACAATAGAATGTTACTTCTAACCCCAATGAAGGTGTCATTAAGACCCATGAGAAATTGAAGTAGCATTTCATCCTGATGAGCTTTGACAGTTTTTTCTTTAGCACCACATACACAATCACAAGAACAAGCTGAAAAAGTGTTAAGAGCATCAAGCTCATCCCATAAACTTTTCATCTTGGTGAAATAAGTAGAAATACTAGAATTTCCTTGTACAACAGCATTTAACTCTTTCTGTAATTGAAATAATTTTGCTCCACTAGCCTGACCAAATCTGTCTTCCAGGTCAGACCACAAGACTTTTGCACTTTTGGAGTACAAAACAGATTCAGCAATCTCTTTTGAAAGAGAATTCAGTAGCCAAGATAGCACCATATCATTGCATCTTGACCAAGCTTTCTGAAAGTTTATATCAGTGGGAACATCTAGGGATCCATCAATGAATCCTAGTTTGTTCTTGGCTGATAGAGCAATGATAACCCCTCTTCTCCAGCCACCATAGCTTCTACCATCAAAGATGGTGGAAACCAAGTTCATCCCAGGAGAGTCTGAGGGATGGATGTAGAAAGCATGTGAGGGATCTACTGCATTAGTTGCAGAAATCCCTTCACTCTTTTCAGTAACACTACCAGAAGATATTTGAGCATCCCCCATGAGGAAAAAGAAAAACAAGCAAGGAAGCAGAAGCTGTAACGAGAAGGGAAGAAGAAAGACTGAAGAGCTATTAACCTTGCTCTGATACCATGCAAAAATAAAAGATTTTATTGGAAAATTCTCTTTGAATTGATTGATTTTCTCTGTACAATTTACCTATATTTATACAAGTATCCTGCTAACTAATTGTACATGTGGCTATTTCTAATTGGTCTACCTCTAACAAACTAATGGATAAATACAGAAATTGTATAATAAAAGATGCCTTAATTAAGTTCTAGAAGAGAGTGTATATGCTAAAGCCCAAACGTTCAAAACAGATTCAATCAAACATCTGAGGCCCACGTCTGAGGCCCAATGGTTGCATAACCGAAGTCCATAATATCATTTGTAGGGACTTTCATTTGTAGCTACTTCCATTCTTAAACTAGTAGCCTGGAAGAGTGTAAAATCGTCTGAGAAGGAAGAAGAATTCCAACAGGATTAAACATTGGGATCGGGAAAATTTTAGGGTCATATTTTCCAAATCCTTAAAGCTGTAAGGCACCGCATCCCCCACGGGTGACAGTTTCATTATCCAAAGAGATCTGCAGACAGAAATAATCCTTGGGAATGAAATTACAATAGACGAAATCGAAGAACATATATATAAAAAGAATAAATATACGAATAACTGAGAGACTTGCTCAAGGCGTTCTCGAATGTGGAAGAGCTAAGCGTAAACGAATCAACCAACATACGATAACTGTCTTTCCATTCCGACTCATAATAGTTGTGCTTTTGATAGAAATACGGTGAATGTTTCCAATACTTGAATTCCTTCCTCAGCTTTTCCACGCTATCCATGGAAGAGAATGGTGTTTCTGATTATGTTTTTTTCTTTTTTCTTCTTCTACATTATTCTTTTATGTTTTATATTTGGCCAATTACATATCCGGCCGGCCCCTAAATATGTTTATTTTGACATCTTAGCTTAAATTTATGTTGAACTAGCTAAATTATTCGTGCGATTGAACTATTTTACTAAGCTTATATATATATATATATATATATATATATATGATCATTCTCTAATATCCGTATTTTCAATACATAAGCGTTCCACCGAAATCTTAAAGTGTTTTATTTTTTTAATCTTCATTTTTTTACACAAAAATTACGAATCATAAGAAAATCTACATGCAAATAGCTTGCCAGAAATATCAAAATTTTCTAAATTTCAGGAAGTTATAAATAACAAAATCAGTCGTTAGAGAAGAGACCAAAAAGTCTCGAACAACAACACTCTTATTTTTATTTTGATATCTAAACATAAATTTATGGTTATATATCAACACACATATTCAGCGTAATTTACTCAATTTCAAGCTATTTAAGTGGTCAAAATTGATACTATGAGATCATTAATGTGCTTATGATTTCATTCAAATTAATTCTCTTCTGTTTGAATTCAATTTGATTCATTAGTGAGGTAAAAAATTTGATTTCATTTTTGTTTTTGTTTTAAGATTGAATTTGAAAAGGATAAATTCATTATAATTACACTACTAGAATTTCGTTGTTTGCCGATTGCTAAATCGGTCGGAATGTAGTTGGAAAATGGAGTTTTTCGACGACTTTCCGACTACTTTTGAGTAGTCGGCAGACTGAGCGTCGGAAAATACTTGCCGACTATAGTTGTCACAATATGTAAATTAAAACCTGACCATTAAAGTACATGAACTGCCGACTACTGTAGTCGAAAAGCTAGTAAAATAATATTTTATTAATTTAAATACTACCGACTACTGTAGTCAGAATATTTGTTAAATACTAATTTAGTAACTTATTAATGTTGACTACGGTTATCGTAATAGTTAAATAATTAAATATATATTTTCCGATCATTGTGAATGATATTTATTAATCATTTAAGTACTCTTCCAACTACTATAGTCGGTATAAATAATTATTATATTAACTTTTTAGGTGATCTTCCGACCGGCATTTTTAATTTTCTAAACAAAATTCTATAAGAAAGCTATATTTTTAATATCCATCTGCTAAATTATACTACCATCCATAGAAATTTAACATAACAATAAAACCAAATATCTAACACATTCCTAAACATTCAAAGTCCACTTGATTCACAGATTCACAATGGAGTCTAAAAGTTCAAGCATCATCAAAATCAAGTCTAACAAGTATTCAATTGTTATTCAAAACGGAAGTAAATAGTTTAAAACAAGTCTTAATGTCATAGCAAATGTCTAAAGAACCAAAACATAATCTACTCTTCATCAGAGTCGGCATCAGATTCAGCCATATGTTTCTCCATGAACTTCTGCACTTTAGCATAGTTAGCTTCAGATGTTTGAAGTCGTTCTGTTAGTTTTGAAATCTCTCTTCACATTTGCTTCCATTTCTTTTGAAGTTTGAGAAGTAGAAGCACTAGACAACGGTGATGGATGACATGAAGAAGCTTGTGCTCCAAGCCCGTAAACTCTGCCTTTCTTCACACCTTGTGCCACATTTTTCCATATTGAAGTAATATCATCAGATGTAAGTTGGGTTGTGGAACCAGCCTCAGAAGTAGGTTGTGTTTGATGCCATCCGTTCAAGCCTCTTTGAAACCCAACCTGAAATAAACGTTAAATAACCAATAACTCCATTTCTTTAAGACATAATACATAGTTAAGTAAGACAAGACAACTGTTAGATGACAATGATTCCTTATTTGGTTGAATATAGGATTCCTCTATAGATATTAATAAGTCTCTTATGTAAACTCAAAGTCCTTTATTAATTAGGATAGCTCTTTCCTTTTTGTATTCAAACTCTATTATGTACATCATCAGCACACCTATATATATACATATATTATGGTAGCCTTGGTCACGACAGACAAGACCAAGAGAATTGACCTCTTCTTTGTACGTTTTAATTTGGTATCAAGAGCCAACTTTTTTTTTCTCTTTCCGCCACCATGGACAGCTCCAACCAGTCCACTGTCGCTGCTGTTCAGCCACATTCATCTTCTTCCACACATCTCTCCATAATTGACTCCAACTCCTAAACAATTGCCCTTCCCGGCCTTCCGATAAAACTTGATCGAGAAAATTATTACCTTTGGCAATCTACCGTATATTCTGCCTTTGAAGCCTTTGATTTGGAGGGTCATCTTGATGGAACTAATGCTCCATCTGCCACTATCTTAACCACTACTCAGGACACATCTGAATCCACACCAAATCCGGCCTTCACGGCTTGTAAGAAGCGGGACAAAATCCTTCTTCTTTGGCTCAAAACTACCATGAGCCATTCTATCATACCTTACATAATGCACATTCGTACCACTCGTGAAGCTTGGTCATATCTTTCCAACCTCTATCAATCTCAATCCCGAGCCCGAGTCATGCAACTTCGCCACCAACTCCAAACCACCACTAAGGGTTCTTCCACCATTATGGACTATGTTGACAAGAAACGAACTATATCCCATAGTCTAGCCCTTGCTGCCCATCCCATATCAGACGAAGAACTTATGAGTGCAATTTTGTTCGGGTTAGACTCTTCCTATGGCCCTTTTCGCTCTGCCATTAACCCTCAGCTTGAAAACCTCACCACTGACTCACTTCTTGGTTTACTTCTCCAAGAAGAGGAGAAACTGGCTGAGGAAACCAAATCCCTCCAACTTCAAGCCAATGCCATATCTCGTCAATACTCCAACCGCTCCCCAATCACTGGATCTCCTAATCAACAAAGTTGCACCACCTCTCAAAATCCCTCCAGTCGCCCGACCATTACCAACCCCCCTCGTTCCTCTAATCGATCATCACCTCGCATAATCTGTCAAATATGTGAGAAACCCAACCACCATGCTCGTAATTGCTACAACCGTAACAACATGGATACCTACCCACCTAATCGATCCTCTAACCGTCCACAAGCCAATTTGGTTACTCCCTCGACTAATTCTATGATGTCTCCTTCGGCTATTGTTGATAATTCATGGTTTGCAGACTCAGGTGCCACCAATCATGTTACGTCGGACTTGTCTCAACTATCCATTCACACGGACTATAATGGTGAGGACCAGCTTGCTGTAGGTAATGGCCAAAAACTCTCTATTAATCACATTGGCTCCTCTAAGCTTTTTTGTGCTACTCGACCTCTTCATCTTAATAAAATTCTTCATGTTCCTTCCATTACCAAGAGTTTACTGAGTGTTTCTCAATTTACTAAAGATAATAATGTCTTTATGGAATTTCACCCTTCTTGTTGTTTTGTGAAGGATCCTCAGGGAAAAATACTACTTCGAGGGTCAATTGATAATGGTTTATATCGTTTTGATGGTGGTGGGCTTCCTGTTATCTCATCCTCAACTCCTCGTGCTTTTGTCTTCTCTCGAGCATCACTCCAAGCGTGGCATGAACGCCTTGGTCATCCTCACGAGCAACTTTTACGTCGTCTAGTCTCTAGTTTTAATCTTCCAGTGTCGTCCACTAAAATGCCTACAGTTTGTGGATCTTGTCAATTAGGAAAAAGTCATAGGCTCCCTTTGGCTTCTTCCTCAAGTCATAGCTTATTCCCTTTCGATTTGGTGTATTCTGATGTTTGGGGGCCTTCTCCGCATCTTTCTATTAATGGAAATAAGTATTTTGTTCAGTTTCTTGATGATTTCACTAAATTTGTTTGGATATTTTTCTTGTCAACAAAATCTCAAGTTCTTGATGTTTTTAAATACTTTCATAAGATGGTTTACACACAATTTGGCAAAAAGATCAAAACTTTGCAAACTGATTGGGGTGGGGAGTATCGTAATGTATCTTCATACGCCCAATCCATTGGCATAACTCATCGTCTCTCTTGTCCTCACACTCACGAACAAAATGGGGCTCCAGAAAGACGTAACCGCACCATTGTGGAAAAAGGACTAACTTTACTTGCTCACGCATGTCTTCCATATCAATACTGGGAGCATGCATTTTCTACCGCCACATACCTACATAACCGCACCATCACTCCCATATTATCCTTTAAATCACCCTATCAAGCTCTATATCATCGTCCATCGGACTACCAACTTCTTCGAAAATTTGGGTGTCTATGCTACCCTTTTCTACATCCTTACAATAATCATAAAATTGATTTTCGCTCTCTTCCATGTGTCTTCTTGGGTTATAGTTCGAAGCATAAAGGATATCTATGTCATTATCCCCCCACCAATAGGATGTATATTGCTCGTCATGTGACATTCGACGAAGATAAATTTCCCTATCCTCATTACAAAACATTTTCTTCTTGCTCCAGTGACAACTCACCACCCTCCTCCTTAACTTCTCTACAATCAATTTCCAACTCTTTTCCCACAGTTGCTGCCTCACCTTTACTCCATTCACTGGCAGATTCACATTCCTCGTCCTCACCACCCACTCAAGCCCTACAAGTACCTCATTCCTCTAACACAACATCTCCACCACAAAATACATGTCCGCTCACCATCGCGTCCTCTACTTCAAGCTCATATCAGAATGCTCCAACATATTTCCGGCTTGCTACTTCTTCCAATCATCCTATGACCACGAGAGCTCAAACAAATTCCCTCAAGCCTAAAACACTCACTGTATCTCGCCATTTTATCCCAGTTTCATCCGCCATGGCAAGTGAACCAAAAACCTATAAGCAAGCTGCATCCTCTCCTGAGTGGTTGTGCGCCATGGAAGCTGAGTATCAAGCATTGCGCCGTAACTGCACTTGGACACTTGCTCCCTGCCCTCCCAATGCAACGTTTTAATTACAACCATCACAAAGTACTTCATTTGGAAATATTTTGCAGCAACTGGTGGTATTATCCACAATCAGTCCACTTTGAGAAACC